AAACCAAGACAGCCACCTAGCAAATGAGACAGAATACCCTGTAAAATACTGATGGCAAATATTCCTTCCTTGCTGGAATCACGGGTTTGAGATCTGAACGCCTCCAAAGTTCTCAAATACCTCTTCTGGTCTCTAATACCTGGGTTTGAGAAAGACTGAACCACCCATACACAGCTTGAACTATTGACCCTTCCATTCAAAAGTAAAATAAAGCTTTTAATCCATCCTCCACCCACAGTAAAGAGATGAAACACCATTCAAGTTCTGCTAATAGAGTTCTAGATACAGAAAACAGTCATTAAGAGTGGCAAGCTTTTTGCTTACCCCTTCTACCTCCATCCCCTCCATCCTCCCATCCCTGCAGGGTAGGAGCATGTTCATTAATTCAACCAAAGCATGAGCATGCTCCTGTCTGCAGACATCTCCAGAGCTTCTTTCAGTTCTTTATTCTGAACTAGCTGAACTATTCAATGTAAAGCAGCTACGCACACAGTCTGCCTGCTGCTGCCAGTCCGGTTTCGCCTCGGGATCCATTCAGCTTCAGAACAAGGTGCTGTCTTTCTCAGCTTGAGCAAACAAAAACCCATCTTACAGTCTGGGCAGGGGTGAAGCAGGAACACAAACTTGTCCCACTTCAAAGCACCAGGCGCATCTCTCACTGACTAAACAGCAACTTCAGCATGAGTGACAATGAAAGCTTTCTTCCCTGTTATTGTTGGAAACAATCGCCAGCTATTTTGTTCATATTAATTAGTTTATATCTAGTATTAGGCAGCCTTGATTAGAAAAATGCTCTTTGTTACCAAGTGAATAGAGAGTAACAAAACTGAAAGCTTTTTTTTCTTTTCAATTGTTTTTGTCTTAAGAAAGGACTGTCAGGCCTTTCACACTTGAATGTGGGTTTATCTCTGCACAGGTCCCTGAATTCACCCTGAAAGAATTCGAGTTGATGTGCCAGACAATACCAGGCAAAGCTGATTGAGTGAATGGCTTATTACGCCTTGCCTAAGGAGATCTGTATTTAAATTGCTTTTACCTTCTCTGAACCTGGGGAAAACTTGGTAATAGAGAATACATGAATACAAGCTCGAGGGCAAGGGCAAATCAGCCTTGGATTAAAAGCTGACTGCACAAATGACATGGGAAGGGCTGACATACAATCATGAGGTTCATCATGGATGAGAGGATCCTGGGAACCAAGTGACCCACTGATCTGCATCCCTCCAGAAGGGTAAGCTGCCTCTCTCTGTGACCTAACACCTCGGCTTACAGCTGACTCCTTCCAAGGGGCTTGAGTTCCCCCAACTATCAGAGGCTGTGACTGTTCCCAACATATGGTGAGAATCATGGGACTCACTTCCCTGGTTATGATTCATTAATAAATTGGTTCAGCACAATTGTCGAAAGTAAGGTTTGAACCCAGGTCTAAGACTCATGAGCTACATACGTTTCCTTGAGATTAATGTTAAAAATCTTCACGTGGCTTCCAAGGCCCTGCAAAATCTTCTCTAGCTCTGTAACCTAACCCACCTACCTTTTCTACAACCTGAAGTATGCTGATCGGTACTTAACAATGGGCTGTTAGGTACCAGGGCCTATGTTTGCCAATTTCCATGGTGTAAATATTCCATCCTGGCTGATTTCAAGCCAAAAACATGAAGTCAATCAGCTTATGAAATTCCTTTGAAAGCTAACAGTCAGATCTTATGAGCTGGTACAGCTGGCTCCACACATCACTGCTCACAACTTCACACCCCACTTTACTGTGACCAAAAGCTGTGAGCTCTCCCACCTTCGGCACCTGACATTCACACAGGCTATGTCCTCTCCCTTACCAGAATAACTTACACTCATTCATAAGCTGGTAGTCTTCCTTTGAGACATCTTCCCTAACCCTACACATCATTCCACTTTACCCCAAAGAGCACCCATACTTCCCATATTATAGCATTTGTGACACAGCACTCTAATTTTTTGTTTCCTTATCTGGGTATTTCCCATTATATTTCTAAACTCTGACAGGGCAAAGGCTGTATCTTATCTTGCATCCCCAGGCCTGCCACAGTGCTTGCTGAACAATACTGAGATGTACCGAGAAATATATTAAATACTCTTCTAAATTCTACACACATGACCTCATTTCCACCTTAAAACCACCCTACGAATTTGGCTTTTTCATGATGATGCTCATTTTCCAGATGACAAAATGGAGGCACTGACAGAGTGAATACTTTTTCTCCCCTCCCACCATGGGCTCAGTTAGTAAATGTTGGAACCAGGATTTGAATTGAGGCAGTGTGACTGCAGAGTCTTGTGCATCCTTCTGGATCAGCGTTTCCTTTTTTTTTTTTTCTATTGGTGACTCTCAAGGAAGAAATTTCAATTAAATTCAAGTTCTCCCTAAGGAGAAATTAAGTACATAGGAATAGGTTTTCATCAGGCAGGGTTAAGCTCTGGAGGGATTTCTCATCTCCCAAGATCCATTCTTTGCCCTCTTGGGGGCAATTTTGTTCCTGTGGACAATGTGTATTACAGACTTTTCATTATATGCATTCATATTAATGTACCATATGTTTATCCCTAAGAACATATGGTCTTGTTTTACAGTTTTAATTATATTTTTCTGTAAGTATTATTCTGCATCTTGCTTTCTTTTCCCTCCATTAGACATCTTGAGGAGACAGAGCTGATTTGAGATAGACAGATATCCTCATTTAATTGCTGTATTTAAATCATATCAACATGACTGACTTTATTAAGTCCTTCTACTATTGAATATTAGAAAGTTTTCTACTGCTTGGTCTTCAATTAATGCTTCAGTGAATATCTCCCTGCACATATCCTTGGAATTGTGTTTTTCTAACATAAGTATCTAGACGGGAACAGAGGATGTACGAAGGTCTATAATTTTAACAGATACTGTCAAATTACCTTCCAGAGTGACTGGACCAATTTACTTCCCCACAGAGACTTTACAAGAATACACATTTCCTCAAGTGTTTATGTTAAATATGACCTCTTTCTGCATAGGATGGTGCTAAACATTTTCATTAAATGAGTCATTTAGAAATATTTATATCACTCACTGGCTGATAGTAGTTTGTGTGAGAGCAAAGATGTGTAGGTAAGATGATGCTGTTGGAAACGCTGACAAAGGAGAGCAGCAAGACTAGGGTGCTGAAATGTCCTGTCCAGGAAACCTGTACCGGGGCCTAACTTACTCCACAAAGGCTAAGAATAGTCACTGCAAGGGAACAACTCCGGTGGACTTTGAAATGGTGACCTTAGGTAACAGGCACTAAATCTTTTCACCCACTTACCACATCTCTCGGGTACCAGGAACACTATTGAGGGGAATGGAAATCAAACACCCAAAGTAAATGAAGTGTTGAAAAGGCAATGATCCGTTTACCAGAAAGGGAAATACATATGATGGTGATAACGCTAAGCATTCTGGAAAATGACACTAGAAACTTTATAATGCTCAGAGAAGGCAATGGCTACACCCATGTGATAAAATCCCAGGTCTTTTAGAGAAGAAGAAAAACACTGACAGTAAATAAAGTAGAAGAGCCCCTTTTCTTCTTTCTCCCTCCCTCCTTTTCTTTGCACACACACACAGACACACACACCCCTACCTAAAATATACACAACAGGGGCCTACTCTATAGCACAAGCAACTACACTCAATATTTTGTAATAAGGTATAAGGGAAAGGAATATGAAAAAAGATTATATATATATATAATTGAATCATTTGGCTGTACAATTGAAACTAATACAACATGTAAATCTACTGTATTTAAATTTTATAAAAAAATTCTTCTAGAAATCAGACCAAAAAAAAAAATACCCCAGCATAAAAATACATAGCTTTGTTTATTCAGATCTTCATTTCCTTATGAAGGCTCCATATCATATAAAATTTATATTCAATTAAATAAAGAAATATATACAAAATTTAGTAGCCTGCAAAATGATACAAAGAAAAAAAAGGTGTAGAAAAGTATTTTTTATTATAAAGATTCAAATTTCAATCAATATGACTTTTTCTCAAAAGCATGCTTTTTTCTTCAACCTTGGCCCTAAAAGTGATTCTCATGAATGTGATTGGAGGTCACAGTCTAAAAGGAAGAGAAGAGACTTCCCTGGTGGTCCAGTGATTAAAATTTCATGCTTCTAATGCAGGGGAAACAGATTCAATTCTCGGTCAGGAAACTAAGATCCCACATGTGTGCGGTGCAGCCAAAAAAATAACAGGAGGAGAAGCCAGTGCAAGAAGAGCATATGGGAAATCACACTTGTTGATGTATACGTTGCATAGATCCTCTCCTTTAATCCCTATAATCACGCTGTGAGGGATGACTACATGAGAAGACATGGAAGTTGAGTGAGGTCAGCATGACTAAGGCCCTTTACCCAATAATCGAGATGTGAACACATGTCTAATGACTCCAAAGTCTGTTTCACTGTGCCAGGCTGCCTCCTGAAACTGAAAGGGTTCAGTTAGTATTTCAGTAGATCAGATTTTAAGACAGTGAAAACAATGTTCCTGTTGTGTGACTGTTCTTCTCTGGACAGTAAAAGTAACTCACATTACTGTGGGTCAGAAGTTTCTGGAACTGCATTTTCTTCTCAAAGTTACTAGAACAGGTCAAGGTAAAATAATAATCATTAGAGGAGAAGGACACCAAGACAACACTCAGGAAACTTGTTATATATAAGATGAGATCAGTTCTGAGATAAACCCTAAAAAAGCCAACAGGGGGATTTGCTACTGACTGTCTTGATTTGGAGTTGGATGCCTCCAGTAGCAGCCAGGCATCCTAGGTGCCGAAAAGAAGCACCTCCCTCACAAAACACTCATCCCAATCCTCACCAAATGAGAACTCAGAGGAGACACGTGTGATTTCCAGAGTCAAACACGGGTTCTGAAACTCAACTGAAACAGTCCACGAAACTATGATTAGCCCAGACCTATGCGTGTTTGAATCACGTACCTGGGGCTGCGAAGCGACAGGGCTGGACGTAAAGGCAGCAGCCATGGCAGCACTGGCGTTGTGGGCGGTGAGCAGGCCCCAGCCCTGAGGCGCACAACACAGGGGTCAGATGCTCCTGGTTGCTGATCAGACTGTGGTCATGCTAGGAGCAACTGTGGACCTGGAAAAGGACAGGAAAATCCACGTTAGCCTCAGAGGCCCAGCACTGGGAGTGAAGCACCTGCGGCCATGGGCAGTGAAAACAAACAAACAAAAACCCCATCTCAAAAGCCAGCTACCAGCTGAATGCAAAGAGGAACCCAGGGAGGAGCGTCTTACAGAGCAGCTAACGTCTCAGTGCCAGGACCTCTGTACCAGGGTCAGCAGATACGTTTTCATGAATCTAAAGCCAACTTGGCATGTGAGCCAGATGTCTGCGGCAGGTGATTTCAAGTTGTGAAGATGGGGAGAGTAGGAAGGGGGAAGGGCCATCTTGTCCTTAAGTAAGAAACTGAGTAACTCACGATTAAGAGCCTTCAGTGTACAGGCAAAGAGCAAAGAGAATAACAGTATCAAGTGTCTTAGAGACCCACCCAGTTGACAACCTGAGGGCGGATGAAGAGAGATGAGTGGAATCATACTTTTTGTTCATGGAGAATCAGCCCTAGAGCACCAAGTCCCAGTCCCAGATGAGATTTCAGTGAATGTGTTCCATGCCTACATTTCTGTAGGGAACTTGTTATCACTTTCAGAATTAAAGAAAGGCAAAATACCCCAAAGGTAAAGGAGTTGGTCACAAGAATAAGTGCTTGGATGGGCAGTGGGGGACGGGGCTTCGTAAATCAAACTTCCACAGCTGTGAGGAAGAGTCCATTTCTCAGTTCCTCTCAGCATTCTGAGAGGATGCTAGATGGATATGACTTATTTCCACATCTCAATCTAGTACAGAGGGGGACAAATTTTCATTTTAAGACCTTAAGATGGGAGGGAGGGTGAAAAGGGAGGGAATGTATGTGTATCTATGGCTGATTCATGTTGAGGTGTGACAGAAAACAACAAAATTCTGTAAAGCAATTATCCTTCAATTAATTTAAAAAAAACTGTAAGAAAATACTTTCATTTTAAGTCAATTTTTCACTTTTAGGTTGCTTTCATACCACCTAACAATATCCTTTCTCTTACTCAAAACATATTTATGGAGCATCCATAGTGAACTAAGGGCATAATGAATAAAACTGAGCTGACCCCTGCCTCAAAAAGGCAGCATTCGTCTGTAAATACACTTTCTGGTTTCCCCAGCATGCAGTGACACCAGAACACTTTCATACTATGGGAAATGATACTCTTCATAATAGTAAAAGTCATGAACCAGGATCACAAAATCCAGTAATCAGTAATCTTGAGCAGTTGGTAACAGTGGAGTTGGATATCTAAGCCAAGTCTCTGCAAATACTCTGGCACTATTCTCTATTAGCTGGATGATGCTGGGCAAGTCACATAACCTCAGAAGAACTGTTTCCTAAGAAACAACCTAGGTTTGGCAGCAACTTCTTTGAACCTGCTATTCTGATTGTTATCCTGTCTTCGGGTATTATCCTTCATACTACGGTTTTAATCACTTTAGGTTTTCATTGTTCAGAATTGTGGCACCTTTCTATTTTCTTCCTCTAAAGTTCTGTCAGTGACTATTTTTAATTAACAAGTAAGTAAAGCTGCCAAGACATTTTGGTCAAATGATCCACACAAAATTCCACAGCTACCCTGAGACAACAGTGATGTTCTCTTCAGTCCCAGTTTTAGGGGGGAAAGATCTGCTGTTCATCACTCTGCAAAGTTAAATAAACAGCCCAGGAGGAAGGCACACATCCGCAGAGTGCCTCTCCTCTTCCGTGAGGGCTGTCGGAAAGCCAACCCTACCCTGGGAAAGTTATAGGGCCCCATGATGCACTGTTCTGTACTGAACTTATTCCTGGCATCATTTTGTGCCACCCTTACTTTTTCCCCCTTTTTTCCTTCTCACTTATTTACAGTTCACACCATCTTGTTCTGTGAATATAAGAACAGCATGATAACCAAAAAGAAATACGGAAGGCAAGTGAAATTCTATTCTTAAATATTCATGTGGGTCCAATATCATTTTTGCTGAGTTACATCATTAAGCAATACAACCTTAAAATATTTTCCATATTCAGAGTACAAAAAGTTGTCCAAAATGTGAATGCCGGTACCCAGCGTACAGTCCGAAAAAGGATAAAGAAATGGCTGTAACAAATGCCATATGGCATCACTGCTGGTAGCAAAAGGGGAAAGACTGGGATTTAATGAACACCTACTAGATGCTGAGCATGGGTGCAGTCATTTCACGTACAATTTGAGGTAGATGTTGTCAACTCATTTCACAGATAAGAAACTTGAGGCTTTGAAGGGTTTATGTGTCATTCCCAGTCATGAGGCCAGGAAATGACAGAGCTGAGACCTGAACGGGGACCCACCACAGGGCCTTTCCATTGATGAACCTTCCACGTGAATGAAAATTAACCATGAGAAAGAGCTTGGAGATTTTCTAAACAAAAATTTCAGAAAGTTCTGAAGGAAGTAAGATGCAAGTCAGATGTCCTGCAAAGTACCTATTTCCCCAAACCCTGCTCTCATCCACATAAATGTTAATGATGTACCCCTAGTTTTGATTTATGTGACACATCCCTGAGCTACACAGTGGACAATACAGATTGTTAGTTTCCTTTTTGAAGAAGAACATCAAGAAGAATATCAAGTTTAGATGCTTTTGTTGAACCTTTCCTTTTTTCAGACAAAGAGATTTTTATTTCTGGGATAGTAGGAAATGGCAACCCACTCCAGTATTCTTGCCTGGAAAATCCCATGGACGGAGGATCCTGGTAGGCTACAGTCTGTGGGGTCGCAAAGAGTCGGACACGACTGAGCGACTTCACTTCACTTCACTTCAGTGCATATCACTAGAAGATTCATGAAAGTGTATGTTGAACCTGTTCTTACACTATGAGAAGCCCTTTATAAATAAGATGGGGTATGGTTACTTAACTCTGAAAATATTAAGAGCAGGGCAATACTACCTCAAAGAGTATAAAATAGCTCTCTTGGGAAGAAACGTCTGAAAATTACATTCATGGAACCTATGTACTGCTCAACTTACTTACAAAACTGCACAAACCATGGGGGGAGAGATGTGATGACACCAAAGACAATCTCCTAAGTAATGATGCCATTCAGTCTCTGGCCAAATAGGCTCAATTCCTTTGACATACTGTCTCCTGCTTTCTCAGAGCCCCAGACTGACAACTACAGAGCTGCACAGGATTTTTTTTAAAAACTCATCCCTCTTTGAACTCTTCCAAGTACTTAGATATCTGTTCTGAAGTTCTTATAACCAGCCCTCAGCCTAACCCTCTATTTTCTTTGAGTTCTCCATAACAGGAAACCACCAAGCAGTGTGAGTTGGCTCCATCAACCCCAGGTACCCTTGGCCATCACTATTTTCCCTTCTCTTCCTCCCTAGTTGTCCCCATTTTCCATTCTAGGCATGACTTGTAATCGCTATCATCCTTCTCAAAACCACAAAACCACACCTAATGCTACTAGCAGAACATGAGCTTTGTCACCGACTGACATGCCTATTCATCCATTTTACAGTCATTGGGTATGAATTACCTCAAAATCCCTCCCCATAGCTCAAAATTCACACACACACACACACACACACACACTATATAGTCAACAAGGACCTACTATATGGCACAGGGAACTATACTCAATATTTTGCAATAACTCACAAGGGAAAATAATCTGAAAAAAAAATAGATATGTATGTATGTCTAACTGAATCACTTTGTTGTACACCTGAAACGGAAACATTGTAAATCAACTATATTTCAATTAAAAAATATTTAGATAAAATACAGTTTACAAGTAAGAAAGCCACATAGGCTCATGGTTCTGTGCTAGATTAACAGAAAATAACCAACTGAATATAAGAAGAGGAAATATCCTGACTCAATCCTTGAAGCCACAGATGGATCCTACCTATTGCTCAGACTTTCAGAAATATCTACTGGCAAGAATCAACATGGAAGGTTGGAGAACATTTAAAGCTCAACATGCTTTCATGTGAAACTATAATTACATGGACAGAAAATAAGTAAATGAGACCCTAATAGACTCGCAATGATGTTCCCTGCTAAGAGGGATGAGGGCAGGAGTGAACTAAGCCGGGGAGTGTTGGAGTGCATTAAAATACATTCAGCGCCTTAAAAGGGGTTCCTGGCTCCGACTGAGCAAGTAATCTCTGGCTGTATTACTTCTAATTTACATGTGGCCATAATGACTGGCCCAGAAAATATGTGGGAAAAAAGCACTACCAGCTGGCTTCTGATACGGACAGGCATGCCAAGTGACAATGATCTTTCTAATTACTGAGTGTAACACCAAATACCTTAAAAAAAATTCTCTGGTTCTGAGGCAACTGTTCCCTTTGATTACTTCTGGAGCTGATGCTGGCTCTTTTCCTAGGCCTCATAGGAAGATGAATTTCTAACTGGGCAAATTTATCTACTATAAATCTAACCTTTTTCCTTCATCTGGACTTAAGTCAAGTAATGACTCATTTCAGCCCCATAAAAGAATACAGGGCAATACCTGATACTGAATATACACAGACTTCCCTCTCTAAGGGTAAGACACAGAAAAATTCATATCCACCAGGCAAATGAAAAATATTGTGCAGCTCAAGAGAAGGAAGACTCTAGAGTCAGAGCAAATATTTACTAAGAAATAGGTATACAACATAAAAGGTAACTTTAGGAAAATATGAGATCAAACATGAGTCAACATTAACCAAAACATTATGAATTACAGACCTGAATGAAGGTAGTCAATAAAGTAGAAAACAGAATAAAAAAGCAGAAAATGGTATTAGTGAAGCAGAAGATAAACCACAGCTTTGCGTGGGGCCTACGTGACTAAAGATTTCAAAACTTCCATTCCCCAAATAAGTAGATGAACATAAAGTACCAAAGGCAGAAAGAAGTCAT